GGGCTCTGCAAAGAGCTGGGCCCAGGGGGTGGCGCTCGAGGGCGAGCAGGGGGTGTTGCTGATTTATGAGGGCGTATAGCGCCACTGGGCTCGCTCATCTTGACTCACTGGACCACAGTGCAGCTTCCACGCTCCCTGGCGCTGGGCCTCGGCTCCTGGCCTCGGTCGAGGCCTCGGACCTAATGCGCCATGCGCCTACGCTGGGCTTTGGTTTTCCCAGCCCAGAAGCTATAGGGGAGGTTTGTGATCCTGCTCAGTTCTCCGGGTATCAGACCGCCCTCGGCATTGCTGGATGCTGAGTGAATTTCCTGTTAGGATTCGCGGCTAAGTTTCCCGCGGTGAGTTTGTGGGGAGTTGAGGTGCGATAACTGAGCAGGAGCCCTTCAGTGGGCCGGGACATGGCAGTCCACGTGGCCTGCTCGGGCCGTCTCGGCCCCACGGGTCAAAAGCTTCGCCGTCGTTTGGCGCGCACCGGCCTTGAACATTGCGAGGAGCAGCTTGTGAAACGGGATCTCGCACAGACATTACAGATTACAGCATTTCCTCGTGCTGCTCGCAGCTCCGTGAACACTGTGTGCAGTCGCGCACTGCACTGCTGGCGGAGCATCTGCTGCCGCTGCTGTTCACACTGCACGTGCACCCGCAGAAATGTACCTTTAGTTTCATGCAAACTGATTTGATTCAACGAAAAAAAAAACATATCTGTGGGATCATGGAAATCGGATGTTGGTGTATAGGAAAATTTCCATCAATCGTGGTTTTTGAATCAATGCAATTTTCTTTGAGTCGAAGGGAAGCGCATTGTCGGAACGCCACACATTCCCTTAACTGAAATTCTATCTTACATTACATAGCATTGAATGTTAAACTCAGGTGATGATGTTACTATGGTCTATGAGTAACAGATTTGTAGGAATCTTGGCGTTAGGTAAACGGAAAGTTTACTTTGCCACAACAACAACTATCAAAGGCGGCCATTCCACAATCAAGGGAATTTCTTTGATTCATAGTCGGAAATTAAAGGAAATCCGCAACACATATTCCGTTGAGCGGTTAACGGAACGTTTTTCTGGGTGTGCACATGCATCTAGAACAACAACCCATCGACACACATTCTTTCTGAATCCACATGCGCGCGCTCTCTCTCTCTCACACACACACACACACACACACACACGCGCGCGCGCGCAATACACTCACACATGCTCGCGGAAGCCCACTCATGGCTTTGTTGGGGCGTCATCTGATTGGTTGTGGTGCCCGTTGCTCCTCTACTCCCCTCGCCCGCTTGGGAAGGGGCTTGGCTCTCCCTCGCTCTGCTCCCAACTGCAAACAATTTTTTCCCGTGCCAAGTCTTCACTCAGCTGTGCTTGTCCTCTCCTCTCGCCTTTCCTCCTCTCTACCCCTCTCACCGCGCTGCTGGCCTCCAGCAGCTCCCTGCTCCCTTACCAGGGGTAAGCGCCATCGCGCCGAGCGGGGCCGGGCGGGGCCGAGCGGGGCCGGGCGGGGCCGAGGGGTGCAGGTGTAATGGGAGAGGAGCGGGGGTGGAGGTGAGGGACGGGGGAAAGCAGTGAGGTAAATCAGTGTGGACCACGTCAGCTCCGCGGCTGCAAGGGTCGGAGCTCCGGGGGGCCGCCCCTCGAGAGGGCACCGCTCGAGTATGTTGTAAAAATGGGTAACAGCGAAAAAAGGGCCGGGGAAGGAAAATGGGCAAAAACAAAAAAAAACGTATAAATGTATGGTTACAATAACTCAATCTCTTCCTTCTTTTTCTGTCTTTTAGAACGGTGACACCGAGTCCGCGCTCGACATGCACATCCAGGAGGCCTGGCAGCGCGGATACACCGGCAAGGGCGTGGTGGTCTCCATCCTGGACGACGGCATCCAGGGCAACCACCCGGACCTATCGCAGAATTTTGTAAGTGTGTGTGTGTGTGTAGTATCACAGTATCGCGTCACGCGCGCGACTCCCTGGTTCGGGGAGGGGGGAGTGGGTTTCGTGGGGGAGGGGGTTCACCGCACTGTACACATTGCAACTCGCATACCGCGCTTCTTATCTGCCGGCCCTGAATCATAGTGACATTCACGGTCCCATCCACCAGCCGCGCCGGGCGGGCGGCTGCGAGGGGAAAGGGGTGCCCCTCACGGTGGGAGGGGGGGGGGGCTTATGATATGCGGATTGTCTACTGCAGTGAAAGCCGCTATGCCGCTGGTCGCTTTGGAACATGTAGTCTCTGCCACTGCTGGTGGTCTGCCGCACTTCAGTCCAGCCAGCCACCCTCCTGCATGTTTTTAAAATACCTTTTTACCCCCCAAAGATCTTTGCGTGGTTTTGTTTCCCCGGCCGCTGTGCAGCTCGCGCCATGCGGTGGGGTCACCGCTGTTGCAGCTGACCGCAGTTTATCTCTCCCCGTTTATGATTGTCTACAAATCACGGGCCGTTTAGTGGCCTCGGCGATATGGAGAGGAGGCGTTTCCGGGCCCGCCCACATGCCGTGTGTGTTTGCGACAGCACAAAGAGAGAGAGAGAGAGAGAGAGAGAGAGGGGGGGAATTCGTGTCGTTACCTTTCGGCGCATGCCTGGTGAGAGCCGAATTCCGCCCCATATTGCTCAAGCTCTGCAGGAATGTGGCTGCCCTGCGAGTGAGTACGTATGTTGGAGTACACACTCGGACCCCCGCTCACTCCCCGCTCCGCTCAATTACCTGACGACGAACCGCGGTCGGTTGACCCGACCGACATGCCTTCACTCTAAACTTAAGGGTCGCCTCATTGCCAAAATGTTGGCATTTCTTGTTGAAAGGCCAAATAGTGACATTTTTTTTTTGGAAGCTGCAAATTTTTGACCTGCCTTCCGAAGATATGTCTCACATAAAAGAATGCCAAAATTTGGCCTTCAAAGTCAGCAAATGTTAACTTCTGTTTCGAAGTGAGTCCAAATTTTAACAAAGTGGACCAAAATTGGCTAATGTTGGCAGTCAAGGTGACGACGGCGTCGTTGACCCGGACGGCGGCGTGCGGGGCATCTTTCAGGTGGGGCGAATACTGTGGCGAGACTTGCCAGGAGTGGAGTCAAGCACACTCTTAGGCTGATTTTGCGATACTTTGAACCAAAATCTTGCGATAACTGGTGTTTTGCGATTCTCATGCTAAAGGTCATGGTAACTTCATTTTTGCAACGAAAAGTATTAGATTGAATCACTAAAAAGAAAATTGATAACTTTCATCGATTTTTTTTTTTTGTTATCACAGTTACCTCAGTTCTTATCCACTGATTTTTTCCCTCTACATTTTATTGCAAAACTACTGTTATCATGTGCTTAAGCATGAGAACAGCAACATCAGCTCCCGCAAAAATAGAGTAAAATAATCGCAAAACGGATTCCAGTGCATCCGCGCTGCACCAACCAGGTGGGCGGGGAGGGCTGCATGCGGTCTGTGGCGGCGACCGCAGCGGTCGGGAGAGAGCCGAGGAGCGCCAGCCACTCAGGCCAATGGTGTCGTGTGCAGGAGGGTTGATACCCACTCCTTCCTCGCTTTCTCATCCCTCCCTGTTTCTCGCGCCAACGGTTCAGACCCGTGGCGCTACCTCTGCTCACTGACTTAGGGTAGGGTGCGGGTAAGCGAGAGACGCGATACCGTTGCGACACTATTGCTTTTACTTTTCTGACGTGATGATATGATTAACTTTCCGTTACGTTTAGCGGTCGCGTGCTCTGAAAATGTTTGTGTGCGCCGACTTTGAAAACCGCGGTTATTCCACGGCATTCCAAGTACCCCTCAAAACTTACGAATGATCCTTAACGGAAGCACGCAGTCAAGTACTTTTGCGACTCGTTTGTCGTTGGTGGTGGTGGTTATGGGGTTCGAGAGTGCCGCAAACATCACTCCTTATCTCTCTTTCATTTTCGATTGCCGAAAGTTTTGCGGTTGCCCACTTCACCTCCACTGGCAGCCCCACCTCAACAAGGCGCAAGTCGCGTTTCGCCACCGCCACACACGCCTCGCCAACTGTGGGTGACGCCCCGGACACGCCCTAATTTTCCTCCGGTTTTGCCTCAAGGGCTCACGCTCACACACGTCCGTTGTTTGCAAGCCCACCCCCCTGCCCCGTCCCCCTTCCTCTCTCTCCACGCATATTCACCGTCACTTGACCCAATTTCGCTTACTTGCATCCTCTTATAAGCTCGTCTTTGCAGACACAGCCGTAGTTTCCGAGATTCCAAATGTTTTGTTCTCTGGTCGCCTTTTGCTTTTGGCTCCTTTGTTCCATGCGATGCACATAAAACAACAACTATTGATCAAGAAAATGTGGAAGCGAGTCGTCGCTGTTCTGCACGGTCACGTACTGGCAGAATGTGTCGTTTGCAGGCCTAGCCGGACACAGGCCAAGAGATGGGGACATGAGGGGAGGAGTGGGGGAGACAAAGAAAGTAGGAGCGACTGAGAGTGGGAGCAGAAAATGCTCCAGCACTCCAGCACACGCCTGCCCAGCCGGCCCCAAACTTTGCCCAAGTTTCTCACTGGGGTTTATTATTATCGGGTAAGGGACTGGCTAGTGCTGGTACTGGTGCACCGCCCAGCCCGGGCACCGCCCCCGTCTGCCCTCGAGCCTACACTATGTTTTGGTTTTTATTTCTTTACTTACCTCGTCTCCCGGTCATTGTCTCCTCTCTCTCTATAGTTCCAGGAGAAAAACCGGTGTCTATTTACGAGGCTATGCGTCCGGTGAACTGCACAGCCAAAAAGAAATACTGTCCTAGTTGTGAATTTTAGATGTAAGTTGAGGTTTGAAAATACTTCTTGTTTTCCCCACCATCCTCGTTCATAGAAACTGAAGTTAAGGATTGTGCCCCACTCAACCGTTTGACGGACAGGGACGTTTCGTAAAAAAAATAATGTTTTGTTGCAAAACGTTGCGTACATTTATCTACATTTTTTGTGACAGTGCACTCAGAATGCCTTTGTCTTGGTCAAAATGCGCTAAATTAAGAAATTTTCCTTGAGAAATTAGAAGGAAAAGGTTTCTTTAAATATTAGGCGACTTGTTCATGAATTAAATCCCAAGAACTACGTTAAATCGACGATTTTACATTAAAATGTCAATGAGAGAACCTTAAAATAATGCTGAAATCTGCCTTCTAATAAAAAAAAAATAATTGAAACTCCTTCGACATTTTCTTGTTGTGACTGGCTGTGTACCCTTTTCTGCGCTGGCCGAGCGCCACCCTCGGTCGGAACAACTATTGCAGCAAACTCTTTAATTCCTCGAGGGGGACGATTGTCTGCCACGTGACACATTGATCTTACTTAGGTAAAGAGGATTTTCAAGTTTGAGTCTGGGCCGCCCAGCTGCCTGGCGCCTTCTGGTCCGAGCGAGCAGTGGGAGATGGGGGAGGGGGGCTACGTGAACTTGGAGATGCACTTCCTTGGTCTTAGCCGCGTGCCTTGTATCTTTAGTTTAGTTTAGTCGTTTGTCAAAATTGTTAACTCGGTTTACCTTCTACAAAAAAAAAATCTTGTTTGCGTACATTTAGCAAAAAGAATGTACGTGGGTAGCGTGGGGTGAAGAAGATGCAAGGGTGAGAGGAAGAGAGAGGAGGGGGTGGGGGAGAGAGTGGGGGGTTAGGACCGACGCTGCGCCGCGAGGACCCCGCGCCCCGCGTACGCCATTTCAGCGGCAGGACGTGCCTTGGCCCACAATGGCCGGTTTGAAAGGGTCCATAACGTGTTTATCCCATCACTGTATGGAGGGGGGAGGGGGTGGGGGAGAAAGGCAGGAAAGAGAGAGACAGGGCTCTAGTCCCCCGGACCGCCGATCGGTACAATCTTCCGTCCGGCGCCCCTCCCTGGCTCCCCCCTACCGCCGCCGCGGCAGACAGACACACGGGCGGGGGACGGTCGGACTGCAAGGAGACACGCGGCCGCAGCGCCACACCTGTGCCGTGCGTGGCTGCCGTCCAATTGTACTCGTACGAGGGCGGGCCGGGGGCCGGCTCATTCCCGGCACACATTTGCATTTGTGCCGTTGCGCTGGGTTGTGTGATGGCTATCACTGCGTCTCACGCGCCCTCCTGCAGCACACCAATGAAGGGGGACGGCCCCTTACGAGCACTGCAGCACTCCACAATACGGTGGCTCGGTGCGGGCGAGGTGCCGGCCGGCCCGACATCCCCTCAGCCGTCACCACAGTAAACATTTCCTACATTTCGTCGCCTGCTCCGTCCGGCTCGTGACTGCTTGTTGCGATAAGAAAACAGTCGCCACTGACTGTATCTGCGGGTCTTCGACGTTCGTTTGTTTTTAGTTGACAACGAAAATAAAATATTTGGATAGAGAAACTATGTTTCGTGGCAGTCCTTCATGGTGGACAGGCGCCGGCGGCACCGCTGTGGCCTTGAAGTGACCCTCGCGTTCCTCCCGCCCCTCTCAGGCCTGCCGGGGGGCCGGCCCGGAAGTCCTCGCCGGGGGACAACATTTTCTGGGAAGTAGACAAAGTTATGAGAAAGCAATCGAGTTCGTGTAATCAAGTGAGACGGTATGAAACGTACATGACATTCTTTTCGTGCCCGGCCTACCCTTTCCCGACAGGCCTTTCTGTTCCTTCCCCTCCTCGCTCTACTCAGCACGAAATGTTGACGCCCGCAGCGCGACGTCCGCCCTCCTTCGGCCGAACGGCGGTTCGCCCCAAGCGAGGTCCCTACCCACAGACCTCGTCCGGAAGGGAAATGGTCACCTCCCGCTACTTTTTCTCTCCCCCTTTCCCCCATTTCCCCCACCCCTCCGCCGGTTAATTGCCGTATAATCCGATAGCGAGCGTCACACGTCACGGTTATCACGTTAGGACGCGCGGTGCGGACTCTTCAGCGGTGGCGCACGCATTGGTGATGCAGACTCTCTCCTCATTAGTATTTATTT